CGGACGTGCTCCCTCCTCCGCCGCTCGAGGTGCAGCCCATGCGCGTGCTGATGCGCCGGCCAGGCCAGGCTCCGCCCGTCGGGCCGGCGGCGCCGCCGCCGCCGCGCGCAAAGGCAGCCGCCGCCGCCGCGCCGCCCACTAACGGGAGCACCAGCGGCAGAGGCTCCGGTGCAGACGGGAGAGACTCGGGTGGCGGCGGTGGCAGCGCAGCCAGCGGCACGCCGGGCGGCGGCGGCGGCGGCGGCGGCGGCGGCGGCGGCGGCGGCGGCGGCGAGAACGGGCCACGCGTGCTTGCGCGTCGAGGCGGGGCGGCGGGGGCGGGGGCAGCGGCGGCGGCGGCGGTGGTGGGGACGGGGGCGGGGGCGGGGGCGGGGGCGGGGGCGGGGGCGGCGGCAGCCTCAACGGGCGCGGCGACGGTCGGGGCGGGGAAGCGAGGCGTGCGCCACGAGAGGTTGCGGGACAACTCTCGCCCCTCCGTCTCACCGCCTAACCCTAACCCTAACCCTAACCCTAACCCTAGGGACAACTCTCGCCCCTCCGTCTCACCGCCGGGCTGCGGCCGCCCCACTCGCAGGCAGCCTCAAGGAGACGGTGCAGGCGGTGGCGTCGCACCTCTCCCTCGACACCTCGCTGCCGATGGCAGCCCTCGTCAAGCAGGCGAACGCCGCGCTGAACATCACGCCCGAGGGGCCTCTGCCGACGCAGGCGACCGGCCACCGAAACCGCCCTCCCACACCCCGCACCACCCTCCCACGCCCCGCCCGCCCGCGCAAGACCCGCCCCACCGTCCGTTTTCCACACCCGCCCCCCTCCGGGCCTAGCCCCCCCCCCCGCCCCCCCCCCCCACCCCCCCCCCTCTCTCGCCAGGTGCAGCGACTGCTCGCCGAGCTGGATGCGGCGCCCTGATTGTGGCGCTGCAGCATGCCCTCTCACACGCCTCGCTCGCACGCGCGCCAGCGAGATTGGCGACTGGGCACACCAGCATCGTGCGGTCTAGTCGAAATGGAGAATGGGGCGCGGGAGCATCAGCGCCACCCGCGCAGCTCGTGTGGCTGTGGGATAGCCTGGTGCTTTCTCAGCCGCCGCTGTCGCCAGGCTGTCGCGTGTCGCCGTTTCGGCACACTGCCCTGTGGCAGGGCTCTCGGTGCCACGGAACCATATGCTGCGGCTCGCCATATGCCGCGGGAGCTGCGGCCGGCGACTCTCTCTCTCTCTCTCTCTCTCTCTCTCTCTCTCTCTCTCTCTCTCTCTCTCTCTCTCTCTCTCTCCCTCTCTCTCTCTCTCTCGCCGTCTCGAGCGGTCTCCGTCTGCGGACACTCTCGCTCTCTCACTAGCCTCCGTGCGGCAGCAGTAAAGATCTTCGCGAGGGCCTCGAGCGCGAGGTGTCGGAGCGTGGAGGAGCAGCAGCAGGTGTGAGGTGAGGTCGCAGCTCGCTCGCCCACACGGTGGGCGGGACGCGGGACGGAGACGAGATGTGCGGTCTGGCGCGTCTGGGGGGAGAGATCTGGGTGTGTGAGATTTTCTCTCAGTATCTCAGTCCCTTGATAGTAGAGTTGCTCTGAGACTGTATTCAACAACTACTCTTGCGCCGTATATTTGGGGGGGGTGGCGAGCCCTTGTAGCAGCATGCAGGTGTCTGGGGAGCAGGCAGCACAGGCCACAGCTCGCGCCAGACCCACCCAGGCACGGCGCACGTGCACATGCCACCTCTTGTGGTACACACCCTGTATCGCCCTGGGCTGCTTGACGCCGCCCTCGTCTCTTCCAGACAGCACGCGTCCCCGGCTCTTGTCACGAGACTACCATCACGACCCCTCCCACCCACCCCTTCCCCAGCCTCTCACGCGGCAGCAGCTCTCCAGCGGACCGCCGCCGCCGCGCAGTGCGGGCTGCAAGCCGCGGCCTTCCTCCGCCTATGTCTCGCCTCGGCTGCGCCGCCCAACGCCGCGTCGCAGCGCCCCCCTTCTCCTCCGCCCCCGCCCCGCAGCTGCTCAGCTCGTGCCCATAAGCTCCCACAGGTGGTTGGTCATCTCGAAGCCCGACTGCTGTGCCGGGTCCATCTCAAAGGCCTGAGGGCGGCGGCCATGCGGGCTAAGCCGGTCGCTCGGCTGGCCCGTCGGGGGAGGGAGGGGGCGGCGTGGTGGGGCGGCGAGGGGCACGGGGGCGAGGCTAACGCCGCGTCCAGCCGGGCCCTCGCCTTGTACGCGACCCGACGAGCACCTCCCCCCACCTCTGCCACTGCTCCCTCCTCTCCTCCCCTCTCCCTCCCTCCCTCCCCCTCTCCCCTCCCCCCCCCCCTCCCCCCCCACCTCTCCTCACCCTACTACAGCCGGGCCCTCGCCTTGATGCCACTCCCTCCGCTGGAGGCGAGGAAGCCCTTGACGTTGGACGTGCCAAAGTCCCACCGGATCGAAGAGATGTTTGCGTACAGCGAGATGGTGTGGCGCGCGCGAGGCACCTCGACGAGCTCCTGCTGCCGCACGCCCTGCGCGCGCGCGGGGGGTGGGGGGCGAGGCTCACTGGTCCGCGGGCCGGTGGCTAGCGGCGGGCAGGCCGGGGAGAGTTCACCTGCTCGCGCGCAGCAAGCTCGGACGCACGCGTCTCGGCGGTGCCGATCTGCTGCTGCAGCGCGAGGTTCTCCTGCCGCATCCGCGAGATAGACCGCTCCGCCCGCGCCTTGGCCGAGAGCAGCTCCTCCCGCACCGCGCTCCCCGCCTCCAGCTGCTCGCCCTCGGCAAGCCGCCGCCGCGCCCGCTCCGCCTCGTTTGTCAGCTCTCGGATGCTGCGGACGAGCTCGGCGTGGCGCGCGGTGGCGCGGCGCTTGATCTCGCAGATCTCGCGCCCCGCGTCGCGCGCGGTGTTTGGGTCGGTGCGCTCGGAGAAGATTTTGATTACAGTCTCGACGACGCCCTCGGCTTCGGAATACTTGTCGGCAGCGGGTGCTGCCATCGCGGACCTGCGACGACGCACGGTGCGCGATGGGTACTCGGTGCCAGAGGGGCGCGGTGAGGAGCGTGGGCTGGCGGCGGGCTGCCGGCTGGCTAACGCTCAAAGCAAAGGCGCGAGCGATCACAAAAGAATTTCTGGGTACGCATTCTCACCATGCGGTGCGCGACGGGATCGGCTTCTGCCCGGCCTTCAACCAGACCGCCATCCCGTGCAAGACCGCCGCTCGCTGCCGCTACGCGCCGTGCGTCAACTTCGAGGCGCTCCTCCACTCCGCCTTCAAGGACACTATCTACGAGCGCATGCCGAGCGCGGTCAGGCTGGGCACAAGCCGCGGGCGGCGCGGGCGCGGCGGCCGCGGCCGCGGCGGCGGCGGCGGCGAGGTCAAGAGCAACAAGAAGGACTGGGCGAGCGTCGCCCGCGGAGCCGCCCGCTCCTCCTACGACGGCGGCCCACGCCTTGAGTCCAACGAGCCCTCCCTCTACGAGGGGAGCGACGAGGAGTTCTAGGAACGGTCGCCGAGCCCTTCCCGCAGCGCAACCCTAGCAGCGCAGCGGGCAGGGCGGCTCGCGCAGCGCGCGCGCGCGCGCAAGCGGCGCGCGCGAGCGAGCGAGCGAGCACACACACACACACACACACACACACACACACACACACACACACACACACACACACACACACACACACACACACACACACACACACACACACACACACACACACACACACACACACACATGTTGTTGTACACATGCACTGACACACAGCCCCTTCCCCTTCCTCAAGGGCGAGGACACGCGCAGGGGCCGCACTTCTAGCGAGGCCCACAGAGTGGGAGACTCCTATCACCGCCACTGCCACCCACGTGTCAGTCTGCCTGTGGTAGAAGAGACTGCCGGTGAGAAGTCGGAGGAAGGTCGCTAGTCGAGAGAGATCGCCAGTGGATAGGGAGTCCACCGTGCTGCGAGCCTGTCGCTGTCCCTTGTCAGGAGCAGGAGAACTAGGAGAGCGCAACCAGTAGGAGGCCCGCGCTTGCCCCCGTGCCGCCGGGTGCAACCTGTCCTATACGAGAGAGGAATCCCTGGGACCCTGTCGTGAGGGTGAACCCCCTGCCCAGCCCCCCTCCGTGTCGCGATGCGCTCCCCGCTCCCGTTCCCCTGTGTCCCTGATCGTCCTACAAGATCCTGCTCGTGCAGGTGGGGACCCTGTCCTTCTCCCACCCCTCGTTTGGCGTGTCCGTTGTATTTATTTATTTATTACCCCCTCCCCCCTCAAGGGCGAGGACACGCACAGGCCGCACCTCTAGTGAGGCCCGCATAGTATGTGGGAGACTCGTGCCGCCGCCCCTGCCACCCCTGTGTCAGTGTGCCTGTGGTAGGAGAGACTGCCAGCGACAAGCTGGAGGCAGGTCGCTAGACTGAGATGAGACCGCCAGTGGATGTGGGTGTCCACCGCGCACCGCGCTGCGAGCCTGTCGTGTCCCTTGTCAGGAGCAGGAGAGCCCCACCTGTCCCCCTGATCGTCCTTCCAAAATCCTGCTCGTGCAGGTGGGGACCCTGTCCTCGTCCCATCCCTCGTTTGCGTGTCTGTTTTCTTTCTTTTTCCCCTTGGGTTGTCTGTTTTCTTTCTTTCTTTCTTTCAGACAGGCTCGACACGGGTGCGGACTGGCGCGTGCTAGCACTATCACAGGCGAACCAAACTCCAAAGAATTCCCGCGCTCTCGGTCGTGCGTCGCCCAACTCTCCTGGAGGTGACTGCTCTATCTATGTATAATCATTAAAATAATCTGCCCAGGCTCTTTCTTGCTCTCACACACCGACGACAGTACTCTCATCTCTCATATTCACATTCTGGCCTCTCCACGCCCTAGAGCTGTATGCCGCAAGCGGCAAGGCGCCAGACCGAGCTATGCCACAGAGGTATGCGCTCGTCTCAGGCCAGCTCCCAGCCTCCACCAGCAGAAGGCCGGGCGCTCCACTCACGAAGCGGCACGCACTGTGCGGGAGTCTGCCGACTCGCAGTTGCGGGCCGGCCTGCCTCCCACTCGGCGCCGGTCAAATCAGCAGGTCGTCCTCTTGCCAGCCGCCGTAGATGTCTTCGGCGGTGGCGCTGGCCGCCGCGGCCGCCTTCCGCTTCACCGCGTCGAGCCGCTCGCGCACCGACAGCCCTCCGCCGCGCGCCGGCGGCTGCGCGCCAAGCCCCCTCAGCGGCGTGCCCACCCCCGCCGTCGCCGCCGTCGCCGTGGTGGTGACGGTGGTGGTGGTGGTGGCGGCGGTGGTGGTGACAGCGGTGGCGGTGGTGGTGCTGCTGCTCTGGCCGACGCCCGGCGCGGGGAGGGCCGCCTCGGCCTGCAGCGACGGGGCACGCGCGATGCCGCGCGGTGAGCGGCGCGGTGAGCGGCGTGGCCCTGGCGCCGGCTGCGACGCGGCCGGCAGCGATGGAGATGGAGCGGCGGCGGCGCCACGCGGAGAGCGGCGCGGGCGCTGCGCCGGGGAGAGGCACGCGCCGGCCCGCTCCCCGCCCCTTCCGCGCGGCGACGCCAGCTCTGCGCCGGGGCGGAGCGGCTGCGGCTCCGGCCGCGCCGTGTCGCCGCCAGCCTGGCCGCCGACGCCGTCGAGTGCGTCGTCCATCTCGTCGCCCATCAGGTAGTCGTCGAGCGAGAAGCCCGCCGACGAGCCCACGAGGCCCGCGTCCGCAGCGGCGGGGCGCGCGCCCTCGGTCCCAGCCGAGGCTCCGGCAGCAGACTCGGCGTCGTCGTCGCCCCAAAAGACGTGCAGCTTGGACCTCCACTCTCGCAGCCTCCCGTCGAACTGCCGCTTCGAGATGCCCGCCGCCCGCGCGTTGGGCGTCCGCAGGTGCGCCGGGTTCTCCCCGTCCCGCGAATTCTTTGGCACCTGCCGGCGGTAGTTGTCGTAGGCGATCGTGTTCTTGCCGTACCCGACCTGCTTGAGCCGCTGCTGCACCTGAGCGTGGCGGAGGCGTCGCGCTGGGCTGTCGCGGAGGTTTGAAGGCTAGGGAGGGAGTGGTGGCGGCGGCGAAGGCGAGGCACAGCCACCGCGCCTTGCGTTCGTCCGTCTCTTGAGGAACCCGGTAAGCAGTCGCGGCAGCGGCTCCGAAGACCGACTCGCGTCCCGCGGCCGCGCCGTCTCCCGAGCGCCGCGGCTGCTTGGCAGGGTGCGCGGGGTCGTCGGCGGGGCGCTTGCCGGTGGAGGGTGGCATATATACGCTGGTCGTTGTAGCGAGCGCCAAAATGAGAGAATAAAGAATTTTACCACAACTTCCTCGCACAACACTGGGCACGGGACTGGCGCGCACTGGCACTAACACAGGTACACCACGGGAGCCGCCTAAGCGACTCCTGAGAGAATAAAGAAGCTACCGCGGGCAGCGAATATGAGCGCCGCAAGCGGCGTGGCGTGGAGCGGTTGAGCATCCCTCCGGGGGCCCCTCTGCGCCGGGGAGGCGTTGTTGGAGGCTAGGACGCAAGCGTCCGTCGCCCTTTTCAAACTTGGGGCCCACTCCGCTACGGCCTACGCTCCGACCCGACCGAATTTGGAGGGCCTAAAAGTTTAAGGTGTTGCTGCGCAAAAGGGGTCGGACACAGGGCGCAGCTCATGCTAAGAGCTAGAAGGGGAGCTAGAGAGAACGACTACCCTGTCCCGTTATTGCGTACACCAACACCACAAAAGCTCTCTCTCTCCTGTCCACTCAGGGGGGTCACAACTACCGAGGCCCAGCCCTGGTCTGGACGGTTCTTTTGCGGTATCTTGATGTAGTTCTCCATATCTGACCGTATCCCGCCATATCCCGCCATATCCCGCCGTATCCCGCCGTATCCTGCCCTATCCTGCCCGCCTCACGCCGAGCAGCCCGGCCTCTCCGCGCTCCGGCCGCAGAGCGTGACGCATGGCGCGACGGCATAAAAGAAACTTAGACGGCTCGTGTGCTCGAAACAGGGAATGATATGTCTTTGAAGAAGGCACACGAGCTGACACGCGAGCTGACACATGCACCCGCTAACACATGTCGCCCGCAGCACGCTCACGTGCGCCCTCACCATGGCACCTCAAATGCCCGACCCGGCGAGCCACTCGCGGAGCTCGGCGGAGCCAACCTCGAACGAGTGCGGGAAGACGATGGACGGCTCCGCCCCGTCCGGCGTTGCCTGTGGGAAGCGCAGCGGCTCGTAGGAAAGTTTTCCGGAATCGCACAGCAACGCGCGGTGCTCGCCGGACGTCGCGCGCGTCGTCCCCAGGTTGATTCCGAGCTGTTTGTGCCGTCTGGCTACAACGAAACTCCCTCGCACGACACTGTGGGCACGGGACTGGCGCGCACTGGCACTAACACAGGTACACCACGGCTAGTTTAGAGCTGTTTAACGTTGGGAGCTGACTGAACGGTGTCTGCTTGGTAGTGTTTAACGGTAACAACAGAACAACAGTGGGCCTCCCCAACAACAGTAGCTAACGTTAGGCCAGCTGAGCAACAATAAGGAGGGCCTGCCAGAGCAATAACAGCCACGACGATCTCTTGTAGAGTCTCTAGCGTCCAGTGGCAGTGCGGGCAATGCCCGAAAATACCTGGGAAACCCGGGGATTTTCGGGGTTTACCCGATTTTTTTGCCTGACCGCTGAACAACAGTAACATCAAGGGCTGGGTTGAACACTTGAACAATGTTAATGATTTCAACCAACACTAGCGCACCTGTTATAGGCCCAAAAGTTAATGTTAACAAGCTCTACGCTAGTTCCATTTCACGGAGTTGCTCGTCACACGGTTGATTCTTGAAGTAGAGAGCGCCTGTATAGCGCCGCCTCCTGCCGCACAGTGTGTCGGCACGGTGCCAAGCGGCTCCAATTCTGGGTGGACGGCGACAAACTCGGACGCTCCACGGACCACGCACCGCGGAGACGGGAGAGATGGGACTTGGGGGTGGCCCAGGGCCAGGCCGCTGCCTCTGCGCGCGTCTTGGTGGGGAGGTACAAAATGCTAGACTGAGAATCAAGGTCTTGTAACGCGGTTTGTTCTTTGTATCGGTCTGAATTAACCAGCCTCTAGGCCAAGCGATACTTACCGTACCATTTATTTTGGATTTAACATTTATGCAAGGCCAACCAACCTGCGTTAGTAGTGGGAACTAGCTACAATAAAGCCCTTCCATCCATTCAAGAAGGCGGCGCGCCGCTCGCTACAACTCGACGCGCATGACGGGACGCCCCGGCCACGGCCGGCGGCTCGAGCCGGCGGCCACGGCGTTGTCCCAGCCCCTGCTCCCGATCCCGCCCCAGGGCGGCCCCCCACACGGCCGCGCTCATAACTATCCCGGGCGTCCGCGCTCTCACTCACCGAGAGGACGGCACTTCACACGCGCGGGGGGCGGGTGCTGGCTTGGCAGGTGTGTGGGGTTGGCGCTCTCGGCGCGGGTCGTCTCTCGTTCGCGGCGCAGTATCGCAGCATTATGAACCGGCCCTCTCCGGGGCCTCTCTCACGGGCCACTCACTGCTTGCCCTTGCGGGTCGTGAGCCAGTCCGGGAGCTTGTTCGGGCCGGGGCGGCGGGACGATGCGGCGGCGCTCGAGCTCCCGCCGCCCGGAGGCGCCCTCCCCCTCTCCTCCGGCGCCCCGTCCATCGAGAGCGCGGCGGCGAGTGCAGGCAGCCGCTCGATGGCCGCGTCCGTCGGGCTGGACGACGGGCTCGCGGAGAGGTCGGCCGGCGAGGCGGCCGCGACGAAGCTCCCCTCGAGCCGCACGGGCAGCGGGTCCTCCTCCGTGCTGCATCTGCAGCTCTCGATCCGCTCGAGCCGCGCGCCGGGAGGCTCGAGGCTGCGCGTGAGGCGGTCGAGCTCCGCCTCGTGCGACCGACGACGCTGGTGGTCGACGTCGCGCAGGCTCTCGGAGAGCACCGAGACTCGGTCCGCGACGGAGAGGGCGGAGCCGGCGCTCGAGACCACGGACGGCGACGGCGAAGACTCCTCGATTGTCATATTTGACGCGAGGCTGATGCGGCTGCCCGCGAAGCTGATGCGAGAGCCCACGTCTGTTCCTCCCGCAACGCTGGACGCGCCGTCGTCAAAGGCCTCCAGGGAGCTCATGCGCCGCACCGACGGCGCCGACAAGAACTCACCCACCTTCAGCCCCGACATTTCTTTGGCAGAATGCAAGCCCTTCGCGACGCCGTCAGAAGAATTTTGTCGGGCGTTTTTGCCGGCACATCGCACCCTTGGGTTGTCTGTTTTCTTTCTTTCTTTCTACGGCACGACGCTGGGCACGGGACTGGCGCGCACTGGCACTAACACAGGTACACCACGGGAGCCGCCTAAGCGACTCCTGCGAGGACGGCGAGGCACGCGAAAGAAGAATTTTTGATTGAGAGAGAGAGATTTTTAGCAATACCAAACAACTCTAACACTCACACGTAATTTGGGGCCTGGAGCCCTGTTCACGCGCGCGCGAGACGTGCAGACAGGGTTGCCAGGTGAGAGCGAATGGCGCGGTTCACGCCTCGCACAACAGAGAGAGAGATGCGCTCTGCATGGTGGGACATAAAAGAGAGCGAGTACTTGGGCGAGTAGGCCGTGCGGTCAACGCTGCCGCGCGCGACTTTGCGCGCGAGGCGGCGCAGCTTGAGAACGGCGGTGGGCGAGAAGCCGCCGCCGAACGTCTCGTGGAGCAGCAGGTTGAAGTTGTTGCGCTTGACAAAGATCGCGTCGTGGTAGAAACCGCGATGCGCCTTGACGTAGCCGTGGCCGGTCTTGTGGTCGAAGGGTTGGTGTTTGATTGGTAGAATTTTCTCCGATCGACCTGACCCGAGATCGACCCGAGATCGACCCGAGACTGACCCGAGATCGACCCGAGATCGACCTCCAAAGCCCCCTCCGGGGGGACCCCCCCTCACCCCGAGTGTCCGTGTCCTTCGCGAGTCACCAATGGGGAGCGGGGGGGGGGGTGCGAGATGCACAGGGGAGGCTGGGGAGGGGGGGGTCCATCTGAAGACTGCCGACCGCGGGTGGGGGTTCTCCCACAGGGTTTTTACCCTCCGCGTGAGGATCGGCGCGGCGAGGGGGTAGGCTCGAATTCGCCGCGCAACATTTCACCCCCACAGGACCCCGCCCGCCCCCCCTCATTGGTCCCACCACCTAGCACCCCAATCTTGCCTTCGCACCCTCTCCTTGCGTGGTGTCCCCCACTATGTGTCGCCGTTATCGGGGCACGCTATCCTGTGCAGTCAGGGCAAGTGGGGGCGGGGGGCAGTCCCACCGGTCTGTTACTGGTGTGTGGGTGCACTTGGAGCACTTGGGTGTCTCCAGTCTCGGAGGGGGGCTTGAAGGTAAGAATATTTTATTTTTTCCAAATCTGCCCTCTAATCAACCGTAATCATTCGGGAAGTTGGCGCTAGCGGAGACTAGCGGAGCCGGGTCCCCGTTTCCGCACTGCGGCGCGGCGCACGGTGCCTCCGGGGGCCCCCGCCTCCCCCCAGAGCCAGAGGCTTCGCGAACGCGAAGAACTCTAGGAAGAACTCGTCTCGCCACACACACGCCAAGAGCGCATGCTCTGTCTGTCGGGACGTGAGGCGTGCGTGCGTGCGCGCTATAGGGAAGGAAGGAGGAGCACTTACTTACTTGGATGGATGGAGGGAGGGGAGAATCACAACGATGTGCGTGAGGCACCCACCCCCTCGATCGAGGGCACCCCCCCACCACCCACCAGGATTCCTCTGGGTCGTCTTGGAGATCCGCGTAAAGGATACACATACACTCACCCGAGAGCAGCTGAGCCTGCCTCTGGCCTCGCCTCCCTCTCCTTCAGGCATTCGTGGCATCCGATGGGTCGCCCAGAGTATCGACCTCTGGCTTGTCAGCCGCGGTCACTTGATGACCCCCTTGAAGTACAGCGATCGCCAACTCGCTGGCCTCTTCGCAGGCCCCCCCGACCGCGTCGAACTCATCGGCGCGGGCTCTCTCGGCTACGGGACCGGCCCCAGCTTCGGCTGAGGGCTAACAAGCTGCCGAGCCCAAATCACTGTGAGGGTCGTGATTTCTTGTTGGTCTTTAAAAATCTCTCTCTCTCTGACACGCGAGTAAAGGACGCAAGTCTCGCGCCCGGGCCTTCTTAGGTAACTTGGCACACTTGGAGCTGTAACGGTTCCATCCGAACGTCCGAACCCGACCGTTGCAACAACCAACCATGGTGAGCCTCCCCCCGCGCGCTCTCTCTCCCGTCT